GGGGGTCGGTGTGGAGCTGAAGTGGGTGGCAGGCGAACCGCGAGAAGCCGAACCGCACGTGAACGGGTACTGGCAGTGGCCAGTCTTCTCAGCTTATGGGCAGTTCAGCTGCAAAAAGGCACCTCAGTGGGTAAGGAAGCCTTCTGCCGAAACCGGACCTGCGACCTTTCGCTTGCTGAGCGAATGCTCCACATCTCATCCGCGTGTTGTTCCGTTTGTGGAGAAGGTTATTGCATGCGTGCAGGGCAGCTGTCAACGGGGTCTTCGATATGTGAGGCAACCTCGGGTTGTGCACCGGCGGTCGCTAGTCTTCTTTGCTTGTGGGCAGAGCATTCGCCAAGCAGAGCGAAAGGTCGCCGACCCGATTCCGGCAGAAGGCTTCCTTTCACCGCTGTAGACTGAACTGGCTTCTTGTGGGTCGGATCGGTAGTGGGCCCGCGACCCGCAGATATTGTTACTTCTTCAGCGTTTTTGGTCTAGTGAGAGAGTGCCTCGTTGCAATCGAGGCGACCCGGGTTCAATTCCCGGCAGACCCAGACCATGAACACCTTCAGCCTGGCTTTCAGCCTGATGGAGGCGCAGAGCGTAATCGACCCACTAAGGGAAAGGAATGGGAGGTCGTCGTCCGACTGTCGGTGAGGTCTCTGGAGCTGAGTGGTGGAAGGCTCCAACCACCCATAAAATAAGTAACCGCACAGAGAGCCACGTTGTGTCCTCGCATGTGGGGGTGGTGGGACTAGGAAGTGCGAATTGACTCGTTGCCGCACCAGCGTCCCCCCTTATCGCGCCCCAGAGCTCCGATCTTGCACGAGCGGGCGTGCGACTCACAATCACGTTATACGTGTCGGTAGTGTGAAGTTGGGTTCGGCAGTCAGCTTAGTCAGTTTGCGTTGGTTTAGTAATGGTTCTAGTCATTCGTCGATGGCTTTAAGGTCGCGGTAGTTACGTGGAGTCCGTCGGTGGTTGGTCTAGTGGTAGAGTGCCTCGTTGCAATCGAGGCGACCCGGGTTCAATTCCCGGCAGACCCAGACCATGAACACCTTGAGCCTGGCTTTCAGCCTGATGGAGGCGCAGAGCGTAATCGAGCCACCAAGGGAAAGGAATGACCCATAAAATAAGTAACCGCACAAAGAGCCACGTTGTGTCCTCGTATGTGGGGGTGGTGGGACTAGGAAGTGCGACTTGACTCGTTGCCGCACCAGCGTCCCCCCTTATCGCGCCCCAGAGCTCCGATGTTGCACGAGCGGGCGTGCGACTCACAATCACGTTATACGTGTCGGTGGTGTGAAGTTGGGTTCGGCAGTCAGCTTAGTCAGTT